AGCAGGAATATTGCAATCATATTTTAAATTAATAGAGATCAGTTAAAAAACTCGTTTCCCTCCCAACTAACTGGTGTAACTGGTGGTGTTAGAAATCACTTGTCAAGGATTTTAATAGCACAGCTTTAACTACAGAGTTTGCCTTTATAATGTTTGTTTTCTGTGACATAAGTTGGAACATATCTATCTTTAAATTGCTTGTAATGCATCTGAATGTGAAAAACAATTAAGTTCATTAATTACATATGGTGACAGTAACATTATACGATGAGAGCACATGTTTCGAAGTTTTGAAATACCTCTTATAAACCATGTATTTTAGGAAAGGAACTGTAAAGCTTTCACTACCACCTACGAAGGCCACATTAGCTCCCCTGTTAATCAGAAATCTTGCCACGTGTACTCATATTTACTTCCACATTTTTTTCTCTGAAAATGGAACAAGCACATGTGGGTAGCTTCTGCAAAATTCACCTGGCATTAATGTTGGAAAAGCTTTAGATCTATAACTATATCTGATAAAGCATATAGATTGCATTATCTTTGCAGTTCATTGACATAATCATTTAGTATTTTATCACAGTGATAAATATTCCCATTTGCATCCCAGTCCTGTTAGCTTTTATAAATCTCCTTAGCCTTTATGCACGAACACGACTGGGCTCATAGTACTCATATTTCCATGCATTTATGAAATTGGTCCCCAAGCCAGAATGTAATGCCCAGTTCTTTGTTCCCAGGCTTTTAAACTTAACATTTGTATGTGCTAAGAAGAAAGGTGACATCATAGAGCCATACCTCAAATTCTTCAGAAAAACCATTACTTGCATGTAAATCTGCAACATGTTTTGGAAAATGCTTTATTGGAATTGCTCCAACATCATCTTAGGGGTGGGAAAAGACAAAAAATATATTTATGAAGAACAAAAAGCTGGTGATATATAAGGAAATTTATATGTAGGCAATCCACAAAACATCCTGAAATAAAATGTTTGGCATGAACTTTGGATATACAACTCCCACAAAAAGAAAGACTCTTTAACACCATTAACATTTCTAAAACCATTTTCTAACACTTAGACATTTCTAAACAGTTATTCTGAAGGAAGATGTAGAAAATGCCTAGCCAGGTCTTGCTCTGTCTTTAAGCCTCCGAAATCAAGGTGCTGACTCTGCAAGATGCTGAGCTTGTCTGTAAATTGAAGCGCACTCACAACTACCTGTGAAGTCAAGGGGAAATGGGAGGATTAGCAGTTTGCGACAAGATGTTCAGTGGGAGAGGGTAGGAGCAGAGCTCTGAATAATACTGGTAAAGAAAGAATGATCAGGCAGAGGAGTCTGGGCACCTTAGACTGATTAATGTTGCACTGGAACTCTGATACAGTACATGGACTGGCCGCAAGCCTACTAAATTAATACAGCTTTATGCCAGTAGCATAATTTTAACTGATGTGTTGCATGTTTGCATTGGCATCCAAAGGAAACAACAACTGATTTTCACCTTTTACTGAGTGAGTACTTCCAGTAGGAATTTTTTCCCCCATTCTCCCCATGATTCTGTGAACACCTATTGAAATAAAAATCTCATGTCTGATCCTGGGAGTACTGCCTGCAAATTTTCACATCAGGCTTTATACTTCAAGTCTGACGTGAAAGATTTAAGTTCACGACTTTCTGGATACCTACACAGACAATATCTGCATTCTCAACCAACAAATGTGATTCATGCAACTTCTGGGTCCTGACACTGACTTCGAATTTTCCATCTGATGTTTGTATTTCAAGATACCTCCTTTTTACTTCATACAAATACAGAAAAAGACTCTTGTGCAGAACTTTCATTAGGGATCATGGCAAAAACCTTTTGTACTTTTAATCTTCTCTTTCCTGCAAATATGTTGTGTAAATAAAGTCATCTGTTCTGTTAATTACCTGTTAAAGGATGACATTATTTCAGCTAGTTTTGGGTCTGAAGAATAATTTTATTTTCTGTTTTTTTGGTTTTTTTAAAGCCTAATGGATTAAAAATATGTTAATTTCATAAATTTGTAATTTCATCACTGTTTCATATGAGAAAAAAGCATAAAAAAAATTGAACAAGGACCTGTTATTTACATCAACAGATGTTCATCATTTAGGCCACCTAATAATTTTAGCTTCCAGTTACCAAGAAATTGTTGATTTGTACTGAGATCCATCTGGTCTTCCACTTACATGAATGGATCTGAATACAAAAAGTGAATTTGTCCAGTCAAGCCTTAAGAGAGGCTGAACAAATGTGTAACACTATCTTCACACTTTGGAGATGAAACCTGGCATAAAATGTTTATTCTAATGATATGCAAACACAGAACCAGAAGGGAAGGTAAATGACCCTAAAAGTGAGGACAGTAAGGGAGAAAGAGATCTCAGGTTTGGTGTAATTACTGTTTTATTTCCTCACCAGTGCTAATCTCCCAATTCAATCACTTCTGACTCCAGGATACATTTTTCATCTGGATAGCAAGTATCACTTGAAATTACTTAAAGGGTGATAGTGGGTCCTAATACTACCCTGTAATTCATTATTCGTTCTGAATGTGTCTTTGAATTATGCTGTGGAGTGCCAGGGCATTTTCTGTGAAGCACTGCAATTCTCCTATCTCTGCCAATGAAACCCCAACAAAAGGAGAACTTAACAAATAACAAGATCTATGAAGTGTGCCTTTAGTCATAGTCATAATACAGAATTAAACTTAGCAGTTTCAAAATGTTTTTCCTGCTCTATGCTCTTTGCCAGTATTATATTGAAGTTATTCTCAGTTGTTGGAAAATTATACTGCTGAAACACTTGTGCAATAGAAAACACAAAACCTGCTCACTTGATGTCTGTTGCACACAAAATAAAACAAATATAGTTCCTCAGTGCTTGCAGTTTTTTCCATAAAATGTTTTACGTCTCTTTAAGTCACATAGAAACACTTTTCTCTTTAAGTTAATATTTATCAGCATTTCAGAAGGAAAACCTCCAGCATCAAAACACGTATTTTAGCACTCAGAATAACTGTAAGTGCAATTCTGTCTTATGACTATGGAATACACTATCTCACTGAAGTGAGTTGGTCAGGAAAAATTGCAAGAAAATTATAGTTGCACTGCAATATTGTTAATGATAGAGAGTAAGAGCAGAGACTTCCTATAATGATTGCCACTTGACATTCATATATAATCACATGTTTTCTGAAATTGAGCTATAACCCTGCCTATTAACTATTTATAAAAAGGTTATGCGTCTCCTAACAATAGCAATCAATACAAGAGGCATTTAAAGATGCCTACAATTCAGTTGCAACAGAAGTCTCATGTTTGGGATTTATTTAATTAAACATGCTTACTAGTTATCTACACAAGGGCTGATTTTTCTCCCCTTAGTCATTCCAAGGGAACCCATCCCCCCTGTGTAATAGCACAGTTTGCAAAAGCATTACTTGCAGAACAAGGTATCCATTTCTCATGGGTGAAAATGTGGCTCGGGACCTGCTGCAGAATTAATATATTTAAGGTATTTTTCATTCTACTTGGACTGAAAAAGCTGGGAGGGCTGCACATGCTCCTCTGATACTCTTTGAGGAAGAAAGAAAAGAAACAGTTTCTCCAAATTACTGGTGGATATGGATGTGAGAGGCTCACGGAGAACTTTACCAGTAGTAACTATGTTAGTAAAATTTGTAAGTTAAAGAAAATGTTGTCATTGCAAACGAAATGCAGATAGATGAGGCATATATTGGTCCTGCTGCTAAAAAGTATAGGTCATGTTCTCTGCATAGGTGATAAATTTAATTAAAGGCAGAAATACAGCAGAGTATGTTGCTGGTGTAATCCTCTACTTTGTTAACAGTGAACTAGAGCTATTCAGTGCAGCTCAGATGGCTGCACTAGAAGTCATTTCTAGTGAGGCTACACCTCAAATGGCTGGAAGGCACAGCATATCTTTGAGACAACTCCGTAAGGTGAGGATATTTCTCTTCTGTGTTACCTACAGGACAGAATATTACTAACACTAGTCTCTGCCTCTATCAAGTGCACCTGGGTTTATTAGTACAAGAGGGTACAAATCTCTGGTTTACAGATGTTATAGTATGTGAAGAATCCATATGGACACACAGAAAGCAGCATCTTCCAACAGGTAACACCAATCCTAACAGCTAACACCAAAACACAAAAAATACCTGAGACTGGGAAGATTGGAGCTGGGGGAGCAGAAATCACTCGAGGTGATGTATTATCTTCTAAATAAAAGTGAGCAGTCTGGAAACATTTCCTAGAGGGGAAGAAACAAAAATAAATATTGCAAAAAAAAGAGCCATTATCTGAGACCTTTTGGAACCCTGGCATTATCAAGTAAGAAAGAAATCACGGTTTTGAAAACCAGTTTTCATGGAGTGTCAAATACTGCTGCTAGAATACATTCCCCCAACAGACCACCAAATTATGCATACAACTTGAAGATACTACATTAACTCAGCATAACACACAGTTCATGCATCTTTACCTATACCAGAGGCAGAAGACAGAGCACATATCAGACATACTGAAAGCTGAAAGAGGATCTCTGCATCGGGAGCTACAGTAGATGCTGCACAACAACTCCAAGTATAAGAAATGCCATTGTCTTCCTTGCTTATCCAAATTCACACACATAATTGCTGTTTCCTTTCATGTGATTATGCTAGCCTGAATGGAGTAGTGTACGAGATCAGTTCTGGTGATTCATCAATAGATCCTACTACAGACACGGACATGCAATAAAAGGCAACGTGCCCCGTAGCAGACAAAACGGTGGCTCTGGAACTACTATGACTGGGGCTAAACAATTTTTTCATAATGTATTTGCACACTGAGGGACATCTTAACTAAGGAGGACTTCCCGAAGTTGACAGGGGAATTTATAACTCCAGGAGATGCTAGCTTTGTTGCAAAAACATTGAAGGATGAATACAAATGGAATCGACCTTAACTATGACCCACAACATTATTTGTATCTGTGCTGTAATCCAGATGTGAAGATAATAAGAATAGCATCTGTTAAGAGTCCAAGCTATTCAAGGGACTAAACAACCAACTGCTGCTGTAAGCATTGCAAAGCCTCCTTAATTAAAAAATCTCCGTACGATTAGACATGCTAATAACAATCTTTACTCTGGGTCAGTTAATCTATTTGAAATATTATTCACTAATCATTAAATTTAAAAATATATACGTGCATCAGTAAAATATCAATCTCATTTTATATTTACAAGATTCTGCTTCTTCAAAGCTGTTTGCTGAAGCTATTACATGACCTTTTGCTATTTTTTGTAATCAATGGTGCTTTAAATTCTTCTGTACTGTTCCTGTATCACTGTATGGATAAAACTCCTCATAACTGTTATATTCAAAAAGTCATTTTGAGGCTACTTTGAGAAATAGATAGGGAATATGTGGATACTGTCATTCTTTCCAGAACCATTCATAAAGACTTTGGTAAGCTTATTTGAATTAAGCCTTTGGGAAACATGCCCATGCTCTTGGAATGTGTTGGGAATTTTCTGTCTTTGTACAATGCAGATTCTCTTAAAACACATGAAAAAGTGAACAGCTACATCAAAGGGAAAATTGTGTCATGCAAAATAGTTCTGGTGATTCACATGACAATTAAATTTGGAGTCCAGCTAGAATCCTCTAAAAGCATATTTGTGATGGCCATAGAGGAGCTTTGGCTTTGCATGACATGTCTGGAGTAACAGCATCCATTATGTACTTAGTTTTACTTAGAAATGGCAGTTTTGGATGCAGACCAAGAACACATTCAGGATGTGATTGGGAACATCTTTCTAATTTCTAAAGAGGCTCTAACATTAGCACCCCATAGGGTTAGCAGCTGCTGAGGTGAGAGAAGCTGTCTCAATGCTAGTGTAATACTCAAACGTTAGTCTCCGGACTGTGTGCAACATGTCTGTAAGAGGTAGGCAAGTATCAAAGTAAGTACTTCAAATCACTAAACACTTTTGGAAAATCTGTCCCTGCCTGCTGGGCACTGAGAGTGCTGATGTACTGTGTTTATTAAAAACTGCAGCAACCAACCAAACATGCCAACCAGCCTGACTGGAACATGTTGCCCAGAGAGGTGGTAGATGCCCCATCTCAGGAAACATCCAAGGTCAGGCTGGACGGGGCTCTGAGCAACCTGATCTAGCTGAAGATGTCCCTGCTCATTGCAAGGGGGTTGGACTAGATGACCTTTGAATATCCCTTCCAACCCAAACCATTCTATGATTCTATGATTAAAGCTCTAAAACCAAAAAACGTCCTCCTCCTAAAACCTATTGCTTATGAACAATGATCATACATAAAGTTTATGGACTATCATTACAGAGTTGTGTCACTTCCTTGCTTGAGAAAAGATTGAGCTCAAAAGAATTTAATTAGCATAATGGCTTTCACATCTAAAGCAGTACTTAAAATGTCCTCATAATATGTCGTACATTCACTATCCCTTACTGAGCCACTGTATCTTTAATCTTTAACAAGTTAATTGTGGCTGAAAATAAATTACACCCTTAGCACATGTGGGAGAAAAATTCATAGCAGTTGACTTAACCTGTAATAAGACTCATAAATAGGCACTCCATCTGCTTCTGCATCAGCAGTGAAAGCCTTCATGACTAAACCTAATGTTAATAACCATGTCTCGTTAATTATCACTTGTTGTTAATGAAAAAAGTGATGACTATTTCAAACTTCCAGACAAAGGTCCCATCACTCAATGTTAACCTGATTATTTAATTTACACCTTTCATCACAGCATTTAGATCTTCAACCTAAAACTGTAATTTGTAATTTAGACACTGCACTTCTTTGAACACATTTATATATGGAGACAGTGCTAAGCCACTGAATTAATTAGAGTGTCTGTATCTGTGCAGGAAGCCATGCAGCAGCAGCTCTTCGGTTGAACAGGAGGGATACTAGATCTGACTGAACACTTAAATGTGAACTGCTTGGGACAAGATGACACCTCAGGCTGCAGAGGACATCGTTTTCCCAGCGTGCAGGCACCTGAACCTTGGCTGAGGATATGTGATTGATTCCAACCATTTAAAGACCTGATGGTTCCAAAGGATCTTTAAATGGATCCTCAGTGGATCCAATGATTCCAATGATTCAATTTTTAAATGGTTCCAATTAATTTTTAAGTGCTTCTCAGCTGAAATTTTGATTTTCAAATTTTATTAACTCATTTATAATTTGATGTTACATAGTTGAGAAGTTTTTCCTTCATGGATGGATGAATGTATGTGGCCTTTGTTAAGTTTAAATCTGTTTTTACTGTGTCTCTGCATGTGTGAGTTTAACTATCCTTACAGAAGGTTCTCAAGTCTGTTCCCATAAACCTAACACAGGATTTAAGGCATCACTTCAAATCATGGATAAGAAAATGAATATCCTTTGACAGCTGTGTTTCAAAGATACAGCGTGGTAGAGGAAAGTTAAAATTTAAATGACTACTCAGGGTGTTGTCTGTCATTGGGTTGGTCATTTCTGGAGGACTGCTGTCGCGTAACTTCTAGGAGGCTTCATGACAGCCAGCTGATATTCACTCTATCTATAGATAGAAATGCAGCTGGAACTGCATTAGCAGTTTGCTGTTCATATTATTAGAGCTAGTCTCTGACTGAGATTCATATATATTTGTCGAAAAAGAATCCTGAATGGTACAGCTCCCACTGACAACTGTTACCATTTTACTGTTTTCCAAGCTCTTCTTATGATAACCATTATAAAAACCGATTTGCACAAATAGCCTGACATTTCTTCCTACACATCATCAGCTTTATGTTCATTGATCACGTCTATGAACTGTTCCAAAAGAGTACACACACACATAAGCAATTTCCAGTATATTATATGGCAGCACAGAGAAAGTTTCAATTTCAGTCACCTTAACAGATAAGGTTAATTCAGCAAAATGGAAATGATGAAGCCATCCAGAAATGAAAAGAACAGAGCAAGGAGATTGAAATATCCCTGCTGCATCTCTGCTGCAAGGACTCAGTCAGGTAGATGGATGCTGATAGAGATGGATAGACTCTAAATTTGGATAGAAAATTCTCCCTAAAGCTGTAAAAAAAATCTATCCGGATGACAAGGCCATTAAACAGGCAAAAGAATCTCTTTGTTTATTCCAGTGTAATCTTAATCTGGAATGATTAAGAAGAAATGAAAGGAAAATGACATTACTTGAAAATTGTTTGAATTACAAAAGATTTGATACACAGAACTAGAGTAGTTCAAAATTGTGTATTTTCCTACTGTCAATTAGACAATCTTTAGACAATATTGCCATTAAAAGTTTTCATTCCTGTCAAGAGAAATGAGTATTTTTTCACAGAAAGATTGAGATTGTGCCTAATGAGATAGTGAAGAGATTGGGGAATTTCCTCAAGTGCTGATTAACAATTTCATGTTAAAAAAAACCTCAAAACCCAAACAACAGATGGTACAGAATTATTTTTCTGATACAAGTCATTCAAGTGAAGAACAAAATAATTTTGCCTTTTTTTTAACCTTGAGAAACTGGAACTTGTCACTCTTTATAGTTATTTAGTTTTAAAACCAAATAACACACCTTTTGCACATTCAAATTAGAAGCTGATGGCAGAAACAACTCAAAGCACTGTTCACTCAAATACCCAGCCAGGATATACCAATGCAATTTTTTTGAGTACTGTTGCCAAAGGAATCTAGAATAACTTCTTGCAAACCTAAACTTTTAATGAACTTTAATAAGTGAAAATAATAGGGCCGCATTAAGAAAAGTATTCGAAAAAGAAACATTGACTGCTTACATCAATCATTTAACAATCAACTAAATCTAACCATAAAAATGCTTATAGACTCTATACTAGTATTTTCCAGGCATAAAGAAAACTGCATAGCAATAATGTTCTGATTTTCCCCAGGCTTTAGAAAGAGGTGAGGGTCTTGGCACCTTTGAAAGAGGGCCACAAAGTCCTACCTACAATATATACAGTTTATGTTTCATTCCTCTGAAATCAGAAACACGTTACTGGTGTTATCATAATGCCAAGAAAATTTTCTGGAGGATTAACAAAAAAAGAGCTCCATATTTTGTTTTGTAGTACACAAGAAATACAGAAAAGATTAAATACAAGTTCAAGAAGATATTACTGCTAACGGGATTTTTGTTTTATTTTGAAAGACCTATGTTACAGAATTGTTCATTCCCAGAGAAAGAATACAAAATGAACACAATGTTATTCGACAAAAACAAGCTTGTAACGTGTAGGATTACTAGAACTGTACAATCTGGGTCTTAAAATGGATGGTGTTTTTTGGCAAATAGAAGAGATTTCAAATACTATTTAGCTTCAGGGATGAAACCCTTTGGAAGATGAATATGAATGTTCATGTTGTGTAACACGAAAGACAGAAAAAGGTTCTCAATATGAAAGTTAGCTGGAAATCCTGTGATGGACAGTATAATTATCCAACTAGACATAAACTGAGGAATGAATTGTGCAATTCTTACAGCAATTAACTAATTCTTTGGAAAGAAGAAGAAATCTTTCTGAAAATTCATTGCTCAGAAGTGTCTTTTCACACCAAAGGCTGTCTGACTCACTAGTACACTTGCCTGGAACAGAGGAAGCTTGAACTTGATTTCTTAAACCCAGTCTGTTCAGGGACAGGACGAATTCTGTCCCCATGTGGGACATACCCTCCTGGGCCAGGTGTCAGAAAACCGGTGTCAGGAGGCCAGAAGAAGAGTCAGTAAGCACAACCCTGACATCATAGCCTAGAGATTACAGTACTCAGGAGCTTGGCAAGGGAAGTCTGGGGTCTAGTGCCTGGTTCTTCACCACTTTTATACATTTCACAGTAAGCAGGATTGAATAGGGAAAAAGAAAAAGAAGAAACAAGCTCTGAAAGCATCCGTGAGGTGTTTGGGCCTGCCTTCCCCGTAGGTCGTACAGCTCCTGGAAGAGCAAGGTCCCGTTTCTTGCTGCCAGTTCGCACGTTAGCACTGCGGAAGCGGTGACAGGGTCGGGTTCCTGGCAACCCCCAAGCAGCAAGAATCTACACGACAGGAAGCTTTTGCAGCTTATTTCCCCTGCCTGGACCACTGTGTTTCCATGCCGGCAACCTGCACGCTCGAGACGGTGTCAGGGTTGTGCATGGATTTTGAAAGCTTAAGCAGACCTGTCCCGAGGAAGGCTCTCCGGCGTGACCTCGGACCAGCGGAACAGAGCCAGACGAAGGCTGGAGCACTGCCACAGACTGTCACACGGCTAACTACGACCCCCGCATGCTTTTAGCTCAGGCCAACTTGCACTATTTCACACAACGCTTGACACAGTTCGGGCTAGCACAGGACAGAGACCATCCCCAGCAGGTGATGGGAATGCAGCCACTCTGTTTTTTTCCCCTGTGGGGGAAGAGACTTCAGATATACAGAAGAGGTCTATGCCATGCCAGCTGGGGCTGGAGAAGAGTTCCCGGTCTGTTTTATTTCACAGTATAGATACAGTCTTTTGCCCTCACTGACTATGTTATCATGACTTCATATAGCTCTCGCCTCTCTTTAGCCTAATTTTTTTTCTTACTGTCTTATCAATTTATTGAGTCACAGAGAAACACACCCGTGAGGGAACCCGCGTACGTGTGTGCACATGAAACGCATCCTTGGTCACCTGCTGAATGGTCTGAAACACTGAGGGGCAATTTTGGTGATTTTGAAAATTTTGGTTTGGCAGAATCACAGAGTAGAACAACTTTTTAATCACAGAACATTGTAAGAGCTACTCAGTAAGATATCTTAAAACATTTATATTACTATAGTACCATTAAACTATCACATTTCTGCCTTGCAGACAATGTCAGCTACAGCACACGCCTACAGTCCTGTATGAACTGCACATTCACATAGTCCTGTTGAGGACCATATATTATCATCCTAAACTGACATCTACCTTTTTAAACTGTTAAAGGATTGGAAAGATAGGAACCAAACCCATGCCATGCTATTTATTTTTCTTCTCCCTCCTGTTCTTCCCAGTGCTCTGCTAAGTCACTTGGCTTCTAGGCATTAATAATCACAAGTAATTCTTCACTGGTATCTCTAAAATATGGAAATAAACTATTTGCAATAGTTCAACCCTCTGCAACCAAAAATAATTGTAGTTGAGCATTTTGGACAGAAACCACTTTATTTTGTCATGTTTATGTCACTGCAGTACTGGGAACAATAGAAAGACCTGGTGGACAAGATCCAGTCCCCCTCCTGTAAACCAGCTCAATAACGTCAATCACATTTTTCACATCAGAGCTCTTTAGAACTGAAAAAAACAACAACCAAAAAACAACTTACCTCCAGTATATGAGAATACCCACAAGAATCACTAGACAGATAAAAGTCAGGGCTGATACGACCACAAGTGGTATAACTGTCTTCTTCTCTGATTCCAGACTCTCAGCTAGACCGATACGAGACTCATGGCTACTATTACTTGCCTCTGCAGTCAGAGAAAATTGAAACAGTCCATGTTTAAACTCTGAGAAATGCACAGCATGAGTGAATGTGTCTTATAACGAGCCTACTTAACACCACTTACCTCTATTTTTTACTATGTACTGCAGCAAGTGTATACATTTGCAAACCAGCTTACAGAAAATTAGCAGATAGAGGGTAAAGCAAAGTGTTCAAGCTTATGTGACTCAGCCTTCCAGCAGTGGAGACTTCTCTTTGTAAGAATAGCAGATTGTTGTTAAAGTATAGGGAAGAAAGTTTTTTATTTTCATCTGCTTATTAGCTGAAAGCCAACTGAGTTAAGGAATCTGAATATACGATATTGGAATGCGTAAAGAACATTTTGATATTAAACTGTCACTCATGTAATGCAAATCACTTCTCTGGGCTAACAGTTTAACAGGAAAATTTTCCTACAATTGTCCCTATGTGCTTGCTGTATTGCAGTTAAACCTTCTGTATTTTAATACATTGCTCATTCTGCAACTTGCCTTATAGACACATCCTGCTTCCTCTGAATCCAATTGCAGTACTTCCTCCCCCAACGATACTGGTGCCAGAATTAAATTTCCTACCTCCATCTTTACAGGTGATCAAATTATTATTTAGATATTGTTTAGGTTTCACACTTCTGTCAGCCTTGTAATGCTGGGTGACAGAAATATTTGGGCATAGGAATCTGTAGGAAGATTAAAACAGTAAATTTTATAATCTCATTAAACAAGGGAACACGATGCTGGATGAGACCAATCCTGCATGTTTAACTTTGGTCATACCTCAAGAAGTAAACACTTCAGAACTGTGATTTTTACACAAAATGACTGATTCTTTCCAATCTGTGACGTTTACTGTGATCCCTGACCTTTATATAAGTTAAAACACAAAAATAAGCACTTTTGCACTTGTTAGAATTAAACCCCTAGATTTTCTAAGAATGTTTTCTGCTTTTGTGAACAGTCCTAATTCAGTGAATGTTCTGTATGGGAGCAGAATTTTGCTGTCTAGAAATCAGCTGCACTCCATTGGGATTTCAAGGAACCAATTCTACATGAATAAAAAGCTCTCAGACAGAAGGGAGGAGGGAGTGGAGTAGGTTCTGGGAAAAAAAAAAAAGACAACAAATCACATGTTCTAAATAGGATGTAAAAACCCAAACAGCTTCATACAGTACAGATTTCCAGGCAGGTCTCTGCTTGCTTCCATTTTCTTGACTTTAGGGGCTTTCAGGGCTTTATATGCAAGCAGGTCTACGCTCTGATGTTGCAGACATCTTCCTGGTTTTAGTTCAAAGTACTCTAACACCCAAATTAATCACTACTCTTTAAATCCTGTAGCTCAGTGGGAAAAGTGATTGCAGTCACAAGTTGCTCCTGAAAAATCTGCCCCCGAGTTTCTGGTGTGTAGGCTAAAATCAGTATTTCCTACTCATTTCAGAAGAAACTATGTGTCTGCATGAGAGATCAGAACATGATCCCTTTGAAGCATTCATACTTGCTTTCCAACTCTGGACTAATTAACAGCGTAAAACCCAGTCTTATCTGTGTGATGACCGCGTCCCTTCAAACTGCATGACCAAATCCTATTAGGATTCCTTCTATAGGGAATGAAGGGCAGAATTCTCCAGTAACGGGGGGTTTCTTGCCTACTCAGTCATCATTCCAGTGATGGTGGCTGAAAAGGCAGTCTCATCTACAGTACATTTCTTTGCTCCCCAATAATTGATGCGTTTGGATCCTCTGCATATTTCTTTACCTGAGCTTCTCACAGTTTTTCAACTGAAGTTGAAAGGTTTAGGTAGCTATAGAGGTCTTATGGAGAAAGCACTAGTTCTATGTCCTAGAACAAGCATAAATATGCATCAACTACAAAGACTGGGAAAAGTTTAAATGATGATTTTTTTTCTGTAACAGTCACAACAAGAAGACATTTCATCAATTGCTGGTGAATTCATTGTAATGTATAAATAAGTTCCCAGCTGAGAGGTTTTTGGTTTTTTGTTTGTTTGGTTTTTTTTTTTCATTTCTTTATAATTGAATTAAGCAAAGATGTCTTTGATTTACAGGAGACCATGTTAGACATGCTCACATTGCATTTTCAGTTTATTAAAAGACAATATTTTGCATCATTTATTGGAAAAAATAATGTACATGAAATGACACTGTATAGTGTCTTTCAATAATATCTAGAAGACAAACTCTAAGTCTGTTGTACTACTACTACTACTCCAGTAACGTATAATCCTTTTTGAGTTACTATCAGTAACTTCAAATGACACCCATTACGTAAACTATAAATCTCTTATGGTAACACTCATTCACATTAGTAACATAAGTTTTGAAATATTGATGTTCTTTATGCTGATTTTTAAAGAAATATTATGCATTTTACACAATGTGGTAACTACTTACCTACTGAACTAATTCACTTATTGATTCAGTTCTATAACACCTACCTTGTTAGGACTCCTACTAATTTCAGTGTTTTCTATTTTCTTTCAACTTTTATGTTTTGTTTTTCTCATTCTACTAGCCCCAGCTACACAGAGTGTCAGTTTACCACCTTTTCATATTAGTATTCTGTTGCTCATGAGTAATACGACCTCATACGATTTAACTGTGTATTTGCAGTACTGGGCTAAGAATTTCCCATGCTTGTGGATTCCATTCCTTAGTGGGATACTGCCCTCTACAGATTCTGTGAGTACTTAATGGAAATTCAATTTATTTTCTAAAATACCAATTTAACCTTGTTTGTTTGTTGTTTTTTTTCCCAAACATCATAGATTGTTTCTGACTTTACTCTTGGATTTTCAATACTCTAACAAGAGGCAATGCAAATTATGTGTCTGAATAATTCAGGTTTTCCACAGTGCATTTTTAAATACAGAGGAGATTCTTTATATTTATCAGGTTTTTATCTATGTGAGGTTCAATTTTGCCTTCTGACCTTATCCTTGGAATCACAGATCACAAATACTCTTGCTGACTTTAAGAGGACTAAATGGTAAAACAGCACTAAAGATAAACAGGCACAGGAGAATCTGGCTCTAAGGATTTTGGAAATAGGCAAATCTGGCACAAAAAGTCTGCATCTCACTGAAATCGGAAGGTGGCATACAGAGTAAGAATGAAGAGGAATGTTTTTATGAGTTAAGATGAATCAGAATCAAACTGAAGCATCTTCTTCCTTGCTCAATACATCTTAGAAAATACAAAACAAAACACAAGGAGGAAATGTGCTGCTGTGACTTCAAAACCAGAATCTCAGAGGTATGTTTCCTCTGGCAGAGGCATGGTTTCACCTGGTGTATTCCCATAAGGGCAGCATTTGTCTTTGCACAGAGAACTTACTTCCCTCTTCAACCTTTAAAACTAAAATGAAACAATTAACATTGAAACAAATTCTGGTTTTAGATTGCGCACTGCCCAAGTTCTGCTGACAGTACGCATCTACCCAAAAGCAGAGCATGAATCTTCTTATTGAAGAATATTTCAGGTGCAGTTTTAAGTAGCCAGAAGTAGCATTCACAAGATAGCCAGCTCAGCATGCACCCCTTGTTCCCCAACGCTTCCTTAATCACCCCCACTGGCACTGTTATGTTCTCCTTTTATTATACGTAGATAAACCTTCTCATAAACTATGGCACAAAAGTATCCCCTCACAGCTTTCCATGGTATTCATTAGACTTATCTATAACTAACCTGCCTCAGAGATGTTGAATACTGACGAGTGATCGCTAGTAACAGATGAGGCTGATGACTGTGATGATCCAGGAGTTAATTCTGAGTTACCTGCTTCAACTGGCCCTTCAGTGTCTCTCTCATTAAGGTCAGGAAAACTGAAATCTGTTGAAGTTTCATTATCATTAAGGCTATCTGAGGTACCTTGGCCAGAACCACTTTCTTCATCACTTGTAAAAACAGCCCAAGACTTAGACTCTGATGCGTTTTGCAATGGAAAATTAGCAGTTTGAATGTGGTTCTCCAAAACTGTTAGGTCGTTGTGCTTCTTAGGTATCACGCTCGCTGTCAAAGTCGGTACGGATGTATAATTACGTCTGTCCATGGCATGGTTTATCTGACTGTCTGATGCAGCAGTGGAAATTGTCTCTTCTTCAGGTTTCTCAGAATGTGAGCTTATAATAAGGTTACTCTGATCCTTGTTATTGGTTACCTTTGCATTTTGTTCCTCTACTATCATATCCTGAGCTTCTCTATGGGAAGTGCATGAGATACAGTTACTTACTGGGAAGCCATCGTCATATTCATCGTAGTCGTCCTCAACTACAGAAGGCCACAAATCGGTACTGGACATGATACTGGGAGACAACCCAGAGGATTCTATAGAAGGAACCAGCAACCTACTCAAAGTTACAGGGATCTCACTTCTGGGAGGAACAGCCGTAACAGAAATATGTACATTTGGTAAAGGAAGAGTGTGACGAATGGACACGTCAGAATCAGAAACAACTGCAGGCATATGAACAGGATCAAAACCAAGTGTAGAACTTGAAGAGACACTGTCAGCCTCACTTCTTTCAAAAACACTTGAAGAGATACGGCTGTCTGCAGGAGTAGCTACATCTGGTAATGTCTCACCTGTTAGGAAGGGAGTTGTTACGGCATTTGCTGCTTGGGGCGGAAAGGCATTTGCATGTCCTAAACTGGTCAGGTGGAATGAAACATCGCTACTGTACAATGAAGGCACAACCTGCTGAACATCTTCACTGTTAAACAAACTGGATGAAACATATTCCTCACTTGCATAAGAAACAGATAAACCTTGAAGTGACACTGTGGGCCTACTAAAAGTGTTTGACAACATATCAGCAACAGAAGGTGCAGATGTAGAATGCAGCATGGTTTCAGTTGTAGCAGAACCTGGTGCCATTTGATGCAATATTTGGTCAAATGTAGAACTATCTTTGGGAACCCTGGAGCTTTCAGCCAATATTGGATCACTAGGCACAACTGCAGCTGTGTTAAGCAGAGTGCCATCGTCAGAAGACTGGAAGGAGGATTGCAGTAATGCTTCGTTACTTAATGTAGCTGAGGTCTCATAAAAGTACAGCTGAGTCGAGGATAACATTTTGCTATAAGCAGGGGCAGAGAGAGCTTGATCTGAGCTTGCACTAAGCATAGGTTTAAGCAAAGTGTCATCAAAGGCTGGAGTTGTAACATGCAAAGGCTGAACGGAAAGGTGATTTTCTGTAAGTTTACTAATATTATGATCAAATATCTTAGTAGTGGGAAAAGCAAGAGAGACTGGAAGGATTCCCTTTGTGCTAGAAACAGGAAGCAGGCTTTCTTGCAGAGACGTATTCTGCTTAATTACATCATTATTAGAAACAGATGTAGAAAGTTCAGGTATCGCTTTACTTTCAGCATTGGAAGCCATTTCACTTAAAGAAGAGGAAATTTGCAGTTCTCTCTCATCTCCATATATAACACCACCTTTTTGAAGCATCTTATTAACATCACTAAACCCAGATGATTCATACGTAATTTCATCTACAGAATCAGAGGAAGAAACATTAAGTACTGTCAAAGTATCTGTATCAGGCAAAAGGGACTCGCTACCAGAGTATGCTTCAGACCAATCCGTATCACTAGACAGAGAGTGCGTAGGCTGCAGCAAAGTATCAGCTTGTGATATTACAGAAGAAGGTTTATGCACCAGTACATTGTTATAGCTGCTAAATAAAGGATCTTGACGAAATACGTCAACAGAATCATGCACAAATTCTGCAGAGTCATAGGAAACAGTAAAGCTTTGGAGGGAGCCCACATTACTAGACAAAGCATAAGGAAGTTCAGACACTGTAGGTAGTACATGCATATTTAAATCACTGCTGGATGGTTCGACTTGAGAAAACATGTGAGTTCTATTATGACCAAATATCAGTGTCTCTGAAGCAGCATGAGTGGTCTGATGTGACACCACATCAGGATATTGAGCAAGGCTTGGCTGTATTAATGTATCACCCTCCGCCAATGTCAAAGAAGCATGCAGGGACACCTTATCACTTGCAACAGCTGGAGTAGCACTTTGTGGAAACATTTGAGAAACTGTATACGAACGGTGAAACATTTTACTACTGAAGGAAGCAGAGGAAAACGTAAGCAAAGGTACATCATCATAGGAAGACAGGGTGGGTTCAAATGACACATCAACACTGGGAAATACAGGTGTGGCATGCAAGGTCACATCACTATCTGATGTAGCAGGGGTAGTGTCGAGCATCTGAGAGTCAAACAATAAAGGGGTGACTAGAGGAAACACTTCACTACTGTAGGAAGGTTGAAGAGGTATCTCACCATTATAGATTGGCTGAGTTGTCTGAGAGAGTACCTCACTGGCAGCAGAAGCAGAACCATATTCTCCAGAGCTTGAAGAGATAGAGTGAGGTGATAATTCAGCAGAGGAGAAAGCAAAGGTAGAATAATGTGGCAGTTCTAAATCCGCATCTGAAGTGTCTTGTGAAACCACTGGGCTGCTGGAATAGGGCACTGTAGCTGGCTTTAATCCCTCTACATAAGCATCAGTGTAACTGGTCTGAGACAATTGCCTGCTATCCGATGTGTCAACAGATTGAGTTGTCAGATCTGTAGCGTTATGAAACCATAAATTTCCGTCAGTTGAAGAAGTATGCTTTGGGGGTGCTACACCTTCTGAAACATACTTAACGGAGCCTTGGGAAAGAACATCATGCATGCTTATATCTGGGCTTCCTGAAGGAAGGGTGTCTTCTTGGGAGGTCTCCTCTGTAACCAGCTGTGCTGAAGAAGTGGTAAGAACCGAACTCCAAAATTCATCAGATTCCTGATGAGGTTTAAAAGCAGACAGTAAGAAATCTTCGTCACTGTGGCCAGTAGTGGTTATTCTTGTTGGTTCAGTGCCTGAAGAAAGGTATATGTATTCTTCTTCCACACCTTTGGTGGAGTCAGTGAGTTGAGGAAGAATTCCAGTAATTGTTCGGGATGCCAAAAAAGGATCTTCCGCTTCTTCAGGAATTTCACTAACAGGTGGAGAAGTAGGGTAATATACTGCTTTGAAAACATCATCCTTACCATGCAATTCTTCTTCTCTTGTTAAATATCTATTTGTTTTAGCTTCACTGGGTTTTGTCCCCATTTTTTCTTGACTATAGCTGGATGTAGTCACCTGGAAATCTTTCCTCATTCGGTTTATTGTACTGTCAGAGCTAGGAATCACTGCAGTTTCTTCATCCACTTCTGTTTCCTTTTCATCAACTTCATCCTTTGAAAAAATATCATAGCCGAAGACAATTAAAAATGTTTACAGACACTGTACACAAATGAAAACCAACATGGCAATAATACATTTTCCTGGCTTCTTAAAAACAAGTGATGCAAACCAAGACAACTCTTGAGAAGACTGTTGGTCTTAAAGCAAAATATTTAGCTGCAAGAACAGGCATCTTCTTCTCTCTTGAAAATATTACTTATTTGTAAAGAAACAAAAAAATCCTGTGTCACAACAACTTCATAAATATCGTGTTACTTCTACTCTGAGAGACAAAATTCACTCATATTATTTATTTACTTCTTTAATAAAGCTATACCTGTTTCCAAATAAAATGAAATCATGTATGTAGTACACATCAATGAAAAAATGGTTTTGCTGTCATAATGTCTTAGAGATTTGCACTGATATCCTGATGTTGATTAAATTGTCATAGTAATAGAATTTGTAAAATACATTTATGTCCTGTCCTTAAATCTGTTGAATCTTCAGAGTTTTCTGGAAAAGATTTCAGGATGGTCAGCATGACTGTAACAGTTTCACAACTGTTGTGAGTGATACCACCTGGTCCCTGTTATGACCCTTTCTTTGCTGAACATCAATAATGATACTTTGTCAAAAATCTGTGTTAGAGTACCGATTTTTAAGGACAGATCCAAAAATTAAAAAAAAAAAATTACATGCCTAAATACAATCAAGATTTAGGCAGTCCTTGAGTATCTAAGTTCAAATCTTTTAGTCCCTTCTCCTACTTTCCCTGATTTTTTTTGATTCAAAACCTCCAATTTTTAAATTTGATTTTTGATCAGAATAAAAAAAAAATGATATTTTTATTATATCAAAAAATATAATGTGGAAGCATCTAACTTGCTCAGTAGGCACTTTCATTTTGAACTAGACACGGCAGCGCCCACCGCTGTGTGCTGTGCCCCCATCTAGAACTGCACCAGAACCAAACCTGTCCAAGCACAACTCTGCAATCAAGATTGAGGGGCACCTTCAGTTTCTGAAGAGACTTGATTTGATAGGCACACATAGCCCTGAGAGACACCACCAGGACAGAGCTTCTTGCAAAATAGAGCTGCAACTCCTTTTTCTTTTGAAGATCTGGCTTGGTGATGTGGTGGCAATGCCCACCTGTTTTAATTCAAAAGCATAACATTGAGAGAAAACACCGAGAAGATAGGAAACTGGGACATAGTTATCAGTCTAAGAAATACTCAGTTTCCACTACATTTTAGGCTGAATAGTTCTCCCATTCCTGCACTGAAGGGAACAGGGCACAGCAGAGAGAAGAATGTAAAATCAACAGCCTTTGAAAGAAAGTGGCCAAGATGGAGCAGCGTTGAATAAACTTTTAACGGGGGCACTCCGGTAACAGGGCTTTAACCACTAGGCTAGAGCCGTGCTTCACACTGCAGTCCCTTTTTTGTACCAGGAACCTCTGACACGACTCTCAGGTTTGGATTTCATTCCAGGGGCTAAATACCTAAAACGCAGGGACAGCAGCACCTAGACTGTGTGTCCTCAATCTCAGACTGGACTAGACAGGCCCTTGTTTCTGAAAATCTACTTTTTGTAGGGCAATGCCTGCACTTTTAAACTTCCTTGCTTCAAGTAAAAATCAACTGACATTCACTGGCACTCAGTTACTGTCCTGACTGATGCGATATAATAATCTAGATACATAGCATACATCACCAGAGAAATAACCGTATTATTGGTTACTCAGCATCCACAAATACAAGGGAGGGTAAATAGATAGACAGGTAAGCACAGTCTGTCTATTTAACTAACAAGGTCTTGCCACTCAGTGGGAATATTGTGGTCATAGATTGAAACTATAAAATAAAAATTCTGAGGGTATTAGAGACTGTTGAAAACCTGTGATTATGATACTTTCATCTCTCTCCTTGCTGGGACACCAGAAACCTAGGTACCAAATATGAAGTCTGCAGAGGTTACCTTAAAAACATCCAAAATTGTGTAGAACAGAGTTATACTGTGAAGTGTAACTTGAGTTCAAGAAGTAAATGACCCTCCAAGAATTTTGGAATAACTGTTAAATTCAACTGATAGCACAATGATAGCAGACACACATGAATCTCACTCTTCAGCACAACTGCCTTCCTCCCTTAGTTTAGTTTACTACATGCTAAGACCATCATAAGCAAGCCCAAGCCAGATTTCGCTTTAAACAAAATAAAAAGCCTAACACTGGGTGACAGCTTTGATTCTGCTAAATGAACAATTTTGCCAGACTTCACTCAGAGGTGACAGTAACTTGATGCCCCATTTTCAAAAATATTCAGGCGTATCCTGTGATATCGTCTACTTCTCCATGTATCTCCAGCCCCAGAGAACTAAATAGTGAGGTATCTCTAGAGTTATCTAGGAAGAAATATAGCTGAAAGAGAAGGCTGCATATGCATATATATGTATGTATATAGAGATGCAGATAATATATTCAGTTGGTGGCAAAGTTTTGTAAATCTTCACAGAACATCAATTTAAGGTAGTTGAAATGTATGTATGTGAAATACTCTCTTAAAAATAAATGAATGCTATACCTCATATTCTTCAGTTTCATTCAGTTCAGGAATGAGGTCAGCCTCTATAAAACAAAAATACATACCATATCATCCAACATTTTACATTCACAGAATTATAAATTCTGCAAGGACTCAATTGATTAGTTAACACATTTATGGAGACCCAGCCTAAGATGTTTTATGGGATTGTGTTTGGAGAAGTGGCCAACCACTTGGGTTGAGGACTAGCTCTAAGTGTAGCAATGCTCATCGAGACAAGGCATGTTCGGACACAACAGTTTTGCCTGGCTCTAATTTGATATTGCAGCACATGTTGGAACTACACTGAGGAACCATATCCTGGCCAGGGAGAACCAAGCTTACGAGAACCTTTTTTTATGAGAAAGTACAGTTTAATGCAGAAACACAGAAGAGAGAAAAAAGGTAAGTCTGGGAATCAACTATTTCTCTACATTTAATCTGAAAGCTCTGAAGATATTCTTGTAAAATGATCTGTTCTATATTTTTCATACAGCAAATTCCTCATTTGTGTACCCAGGCTTGAAGTCAGGTACTAGCGCAACAGCCCTGCCATCATATTCAGTATGCAGTAGGCTGCCTGCCTCGCTCAGGGCAGACCCAAGAGACCCGGCCTTCCTAAAGTCCAGTGCTTTTCCAAACTCCTCCTCCACTTGATTTAATGTAAGGACATGAACCCAGTTGTATCACATCCCACAAAAAGTCCCTAATAAAGAGGTACTGGGCGCTCTGCGAAGAACTACTCTAAAGGCTTTTGAGGCCTCCCCACTTTTCATAAATAAAGAATAGTTGAAGCTGGATCAAGAAATTAATCTCTTACGGCCTAAGTGAAAATCCTTCTCTCCAAGTTTAGAGGTAGTCTCTCACCTTCTTTCTCTCTGTCTTTGTGGCCAAATCCAATACTGTACTTCTGATGGTGGTCAGCAAGAGAGGCTTCAAAGCTGGTTGCAAGAAACCTACAAATCTCTGGTGGGAACTGGCATAGGTCTCCAGTGATGAAATCTAGTACTCCTTCCACAGCACTGACTCATCTTACCGCTCCTTTGGTCCACAGAAAGATCCATTCCCTTTCTGAATCTTCCCAAGGCTTTCTCCTAAGCAGTGTTACACCAGTGCTAGCACATGTTCTGAGGGGTGATGCGCACTTAGCGAAAATGCCAGTCTCTTAGTCTGGGGAGCCATTCTAGCAATAGCTTTACGCAGAGCTCCATGCCTGCACTTCCTCCACAATTCCCAAATGAAGTTTCCTCAATGCACTAGTATAAAGATGTCATCTTTATACCTCTCATCTCTGCAAAGTCAGATGGGGACCTATGACTTAATTTGTATTCTCTTTGATCTGTCCGTATCTACCTTTCCAAACAAATGGAGACATATTATATGCAACATACACTAGATAATGTTTACCAAACTAACAAGCTCACACAGTTTTATTTGTAGATTATAGCATGCAAACAAATTTTGACTAAGCAGTGCTGTACAAAAGCTTCATAAATTGCTATTTTGCAACAAACATTTATAAATTACCAAGTACTGAATTAAACCTTCAATAACAAGACAGAGAAAAATTATCTTACCTCTGACTCCTGGAAGCCTAGGAGGCTCTGGGGCAGGGTGGGGAAGGGAGCCGAGGGGAGGAAGGGGTGGAGGAGACAATGATATTCCCTGGCTTCTCAATGATATAAATAAAATATTGCAGACATTTGTTTGAAACTCTTCCCACAGTAGACCCATACTATGTATTATGTACTCAGTAGATTTCTCTGAAAAATGTTTTTAATACAGAGAAATTCTATCCATTCTTTCTGTGGTCACTATCCTTGAGTTGAGCTTTAATCAGACTTAATAAGAAAAATAAAATGTGCTGATTGTGCTAGAGTATACAGTAGGGTATATGCTCTCAAATTCCACCAGCAGAAACCTACAGTTTCCTGCTGTTGTCTCCATGGAGAGGCATTAACATACATACACATATATATATATATATATAAAAAAACCGTGTTAACAACACTAAATCTTCAGGCTTTTGACAAAGCCTATTTAAATTTAGTTGGTCACAGAAAATGTATTTGTCAAAAACATTAGAGTCACACTTTCAGAAGTTCTGTTAATTCTATTGCTGGGTTTTTGATTTGATGGGAGACTACAGAAATCTGCTAACATCCCCCAACCTAGGAGAAGAACCGCACTCTTCAAAAAACAACCCATTGATGTAGGTTGATGAACAAGCTTGTTTATTTTTTCTGGAACCACATATTGATTATTCTATAACTTACATGTTAAAATAAAAAAATTAAATCATTATTTAGAAAGTTGTGTAGAGGTCTTTTCATAGTCCATTTTAATGACAGATGAAGAAACGATAGAACAAAGACAAAAAAGGTAGCTATTTCCCTATTTAAGTTCAATGCATATCTTAAAATAATCTGATTTGTAATTGTAGAATAACGTGTGCAACATAAACTGTTTTCATTTCTGTACTGTCTTATGTAATAAATGGCATGACAAGAACAAAAGTAAAGCCGGTTTCTTCTAATGAAATTAGTTTTCATATTTCTACATTTATCAGTACAAAATTAGAAAAAAAGCATCCCCTAAATGAAATATTTAAGATATGCTTAGTGGTTTTTAGGACAAAAATCACAAAGACAACTTACAAAGAAATTGCATAGTTAAACCCTCCCAAAGCATTGCTGACAGCATAAGCTGCCATGCAGGACAGCACTTGAGAGCCATATCCCAGCATGGGTTTTTTTGATAAACAGCAACCAAAGTCTACACAAAGGAAGATGAGAGGAGAGATATATTCTTATTTTTCATTTCTTGTGTCAGCAAAAGCATGTAAATAACACTGGTATTAACTACACAACAAACTACTGCAGAAGTTTCAGAGTTATACAGGTGTTATCTAGAGAGTCAAAGCACACATTTAGATAGTTATTCAAAATCCAATTGTAATAGCAAATGAAAAATTGGTAAATAAAGTTTGGACTTCTATCAAAGCTGGCTAAAACACTATGTACATGATTCCCTTCATTTTCAGTGGAGGTTGTGCAGCTACATCACGCAGTGCATCTGGTGTCTTTTACTAAAGGGAAGCTAACTAGAAACAATTTTAATGTGCACACACACTATATCGGAAGATGAAAAGCTGCCACCCTGAACAGTTTAGGAAACACCCAAAGAGCAGAGGTCTCAACTATCATAATTTGCCCAATTTCATATCAGAGCTCCTGAAGCTTCCACAAACTGAGCCAGAGAGCATTGCCTGAAAGGGGTCTTTCCTCTTACGAAGCACTGCTGAGGACGAGAGGGTTTAAGCCTGGGTCACCCAGAGCCTGCAGAGCCTTCCCATACCACGTACAGGAGGCACCCAGACGGCAGGAGAAACACTCTCTCTTGCAAGCATCTCAAAAGGAAAAGGCTAAAACGATGGTGGAGAGTTTTTTGAACAGCAGATTTGTGTTGCACAGTGTACTTCCCTCATTAAAAGTGGCCATTCCAAGGGCAGAATTCTTCCTGGAAAAGGGCCCATCTAATGCTTCCACATGACTCATGCCTCACTTTAGCTCTTAACATGAAGATTAATTGATCTGGAGGTGACTGCAGTGAATTTCACCTTAATTAAACTGGCTTATTCAGAGAAATTCTTGAAAATGAAAGTTTTTTAGCTTATGCTTTATGTGAGTCAATTTTATTTCATGTCTTCATGGTGAAGATAACTTTTCTTTCATAAATTCACAAGCAGGAGCTCCAAGAAATCCCCTTTTGCCTCAAGATCTATAAAGTAGATCACAAAACCAATTTGATGTTATAGTTGTAACCAGCAAGTTGCTCTGAACAAATCTTTCTCATTAGATATCTACGTTCTCATTATCTCTGTTGTTTAATATTTTCAGTATTAAAATATTAAATATGAAAATATTTTCAATATTTGAAACAGTTAATTCAGATGTAAATAATTAGTAAAAGTAAGTATGCAAATAATCATTAATATTAGAAATGAATGGAAGTTTTTTCATAATTTAAAATTATACCCAGGGTTGAGACAGCATCTATAAAACTTATTTGTAGAGCAATAAACAGCCACAGGAATCATACTAATTACATGGGAGAGATTTTTTCCATGAATTTTCCTCATCTAATGCTTTCAGATGTACCACTGTGGAGGTGTCAAAATAAAAGAGCACAAGGTACATTTAATAACTTTGTGTCCATTTCAGATAGGAAGCATCCCAAAGAAAAAGTTTTTCTGAAACATGCAAAATATTAATTTTGGTATTTCATTTTTATTTATAAACTTCTCCCTCTTTTAAATTTTTTTTTTTTTTAATCTAGAATATCCTTAAAACACTTCATTTGACCTGAAATAGTCTTCCTCAATTTTGAAGCTTTTATAAAACTAAAGGAAAAACCTTAGGCAGACCTGAAGCTACTACAAATTTTCAGAACTGCCTGAAATTTGAAAAAAAAAAACACCCCAGGTGTTTATGCAGTTCTGATATGCAAATTATTTAACTTACCTCTTTATAAAGCTTTATTTAAAAAGAATTTTAAGAATTTAAGGGTAAGGATATACTTGTATACATTAATATGCTTTAATGCAACATTAAGGAGACATATTTAAATGTTCAAACGACAGAAAACACAAAAATAGTATTTTCATAGTTACACTAACCTGTTCATATTTTACATAGATACATCTTTACATTGTTATGCCTCCTAGGTATCCTTGCATTGTATTTTCTCATTTCTTTAACAAAAAGAAATTAGTGGTGTGTCTGTGTAAAAGCATGGGAATATCAGACCTTCACTCAGAACTGCTAAATATAACATTTATTGCACCCAATTCTTTTGTCTGAGTATACAAACCTCAGAGAAATTTCTGCTGATATACTGGAAAGTGAAATGAGTTTTCCAGTACGTATTTCCAAAACAAGGCCCTCACTCTTCCTTCTACTGACATGAACATGTTTTATCCTATGGCTATTATCTACACCGGATTTTGTTTTGCAATGTCTATTTTCAGAGGTTTTAAAGCTGCGATGGAAGCACTGCACTGACTTGATTTGTTGAACTATTATTTAATAATGACAACACTACGCTGCATATTTGTCATTCCATGTGGAAATGGATGTGGGGATATGTAGATGAACTCTTATCTGAGAAAATTCTTCAAACACCAACCCATCAAATTCTGGAAAGGAGGTGGAGGAATATAGTATCTAAGAGGTAGATGAAGGATAAACATAGAAGTGAAATGTCAGGCAGAATTTCAGAACCTTTTTGTGGACTTCTTAGAAAACTGAAGAGAAATAGGAAGATTCTCATATATATTACCGTAAGACTCCAAAAATTCATTCTTCTTAATACATTGTATTTGACAGACAAGTTAAATGTTTATTGAAAATTTATATGTACTATACCTGAACCTGTGTCCCCCTCCTTCCGATAAAAACACACTATTAAAAGCCCATTACCGTTATTAGTCCATAATTCATGCACTAGAGATTGTCGAGAATTATATCCTTTCTCACTAAAGGCATAAAGGAATGTGGTTCCCTTGAAACGAAAAACTGACCTGCTTTCCCAAGTACATCACAACATGGCTAAGGACTTTGCTGTAGCTAAACAGACTTGATGAAGTCTAAAACTGAACTTACAGAATCCATAAAAAAACAACAAGAATCCAGGCCCTTAGATAAAAATGGTTTCTTGCATGATCAGAAAGTCTTTGATTTTTTCTCATAATTAATTACAAGGTTCTTAATTAAAAACACAGCTCTCACTCACTTTGATAAGAACTAGGCCTGATGCTAAAAATTCCAGAGAATTTAAGGAATTATTAAGGAAAAGATCAAGCTTCATGCGACAGTTTCAAATTATTTCATATTTACCAGCAGGTGGAAGAAGTAAATCTGGCTGTGAAATCAGTAAGATTTGTTTGTTAGGCCTTTTGATTTTTTGCAAGGCAGCATTAAGAAGCAAGGGAATTCCACCACCGCAAGTCCTTTGAAATCAAACTCCAAGTAATCACAAGAAATCAAATTTCAAAATCAATTGATACAGATTTATGTCACATATTGGGTTTGTATTATTTATTTTTGTAATACTTTGGCTGTGTGGATTAATTCTGAGAGGGTGCTTGAACCATAGAGAAATAATTACATTATATTGCTAGAAGATACACTTGTGAGATTTGAAATCAGATAGGTGTTTCTTAGAGTTAAAAAAAAAACAAACATGCAGTCTTTCATAGGTAATGTTTACAAGGAATGGAGAATTACATCATGTAAAATATCAGTAGCAAAGAACATGCTGAAGGTTAACTGCAGTGATTTTGAAATTTCATTTTAGCGTATTTTGATAGTCGCGCATTTTAACTGGTTTGCAAACTACTTCTTCAAATACAGATTTTCAGCTAAAAGTGATCACTAAGCTCAAAAGGCCACTTACCTGGGTCCTCTAAAGGCATATCAACAATGACTTGGTCACTGTATTTTCCATATAGACCATTAGAGCAAACAGCAACTATCTGAAGAACATAACTTGTATTGGGCAGCAGATTATTTAGAATAGCCCCCTAAAAGAAAAACCATGTTTAATCATTTACTTGCAAATAAGTATCAAATATTTGGAAATGTTAATTTTTTCATAACACATTTTTCATATGAACCATAAAGGTCCTTTCTTCTACGACTCTAATGTATGCTTTTTATGTTTTATTGCCACAAATGTTTTTCAGTCAACTTAAAAAAAGGAACTGTGAATTTTTACATGGAGGATACAAAATTATAATTATTTAATGCTGAACACTAATTTAGGTAACATTATCTCCGATAAGTTATGAGTCTTTAAAGAGGGTTAGAGGAACAGATCACATTAGTGAAATACCATCAAACTGTAATCAGTAGCTTAATAATTATAGCAGCACAGTTGCACTGAACCTTATTAGTTGCTTGTGTAGTTCATTCTTTGCACATCAGTGAGCAATGAAGTACAGATCACTGTTAATTGACTAAGGGTTTAGGGTTGTATGGTTAAGGAGCTCTGAGATGGACATGGTCATAATCTTTTGGGGATATTACAGGCAAATCAGAACAGCAATCTGTGAAAGCCTTCTCTCTCCTGGGCAAGAGGGGCTTTTTTTTTTGTTTGTTTTTAAATTGTCTTGTGGTTTCACAGCCAAAAAATGAAGTGCAGCTTTTCTAAGATGCAGCCAAAGAAGTATTTTTTTATTGAATCAGCTCTCAGCTACTGTTTAAACCCTTAACATAATTAACAGTGAGTGTTTTGCCATCACCCTTTTGTATGAAACTTGAAGAGTTTACAGTTACCAAGTCCTGATACCCATCTGTCAGAAACTCATGCTTAGTCTGGTCTTCTCCATCCAACTGTTGATAAAAGACGGCAAATCTCTCAATTGTGGTGTCGTATACAACGCGAGGTCTTTCCCATGTAACAAGAAGACTAGTATAATTCTTTGGATCGGATTGAACATTTTCCGGTTCTGAGCTGCAAACTGGAAGAAAGAAAAGAGGAAAGAATATGATATTTATTAAATGGAACAAATGACTCCACTAAGACCTTGAGCCACCTCCTGATAAAATTAATGCCAGTCTTTCATGCACCTCATTTTTAGCTTTCCACTAAAATATCTGAGATGCCATGCACAATAAACAGAACCAGTATTTTAACACTAGATTTTCAAAAGCAAGTTAATTTGAGGACTGAGTTCCCTTTCCATCTTTTTTATGCCATATTTTGTGAAATATTAATATCCAGTTCCCAAGAAATAAACATAAAGATTCATATATATGTCCTGGGGATGAAAAATCTCTATTACTCTGTCTTTATGGGTCTATCAGGGTAGCATTAGAAGAGCTGCACGCTCTCTCACCAGCTATAATAGACTGTAATCTACTGTAGAATGTTTTTAACCGTTAAAGGTAAACCTATCACACTTGAATTTGCTCTCAAGGATGTTTGAATCTTTTTATAGCACCTCAAGAAGAGAGAAAAGGCAAATAGGGAGAGGCTAAGAAATGATTAGGGAAGCAGGTAGTGATTTCATGTTATTATATCTTAAGGCACCATCTAGACATCTGCTGAAGAAGTCTCATCAGACTGTTGGAGTCCTGGGCCTGGCTCATGCACACCTTCTCTGTGAGCCTGGAACCTGCACTCCAGAAGAAGCCTGGTCAGGCAGCTACTCTTGCACGTCTTCCAGCCTTTCCCCTCCAATACCCTTTTCATCTTATTCACGTAAGCTGAATGTTTTGATACTTGTCTAGATATACAAGAAATTTACTGAGATTCTGACATTTGTTTTTTTTAATTGCCCAAGTATCTGTGTGTGGCTTTATAATAATATCCAAGGTCAAGGGTAGATTAACCCGTATGAAAGAATTATATTAGCAGAAAATGTAAATTATTTAGCTGAAGATCACTGAAAACGACCAGTTTGTTGTAATACACTAAAAAATAAAGCAATATCATATACATTTGCATCATTCATGGCTGTTTTGGGCCAAGACCCCATTCTCCTTCCTTGCTCTCATCATACCCTCTCCTGGTGGGCGAACCGTGTCTTCAGACACAGCACTGAAGAATGCAGAAGACTGTCAAAATTGTTCACGAACTTTCAGTTCCCAACTGGGGAGCACAGCAACTGGACTTGCTCTGGTGTCTCAGAACGAGGGCCAGGGATCACCAATTATAAAACCCTCTTATCTCTTTGAAACTGCATTGTTTTTGACCTCTGGTTGAAATGCTCAGAGTGGCTATCTGCCCCTGCCCTAGCTTTTGGGAAGTTCCTTTCTCATGTGCTGAATTTCCTTTCATATGTGTTTTTGCATGTACTGAAAAGGCATATTATTTATCCTATTTATTATCCCTTTATTACATTTCTACTGCTTTATTTAACCTATTAGACTTGTCAAAATCACTGATCAGAATACATGAAGCTTACTTTGAATCTTTCAACAATTTAAGTAAATCTTACTTATTAAAATGATTAGATGGATATATTTTTATTACAAAACTTTTAGCTTGACTTTTGCACAAGGAATTATATAATAATTGCCTATTTGGAAGACATGAGGAAACATATTTTTCAAATCTCAGAATATGTTTAAAACAAACTTTGAGTAGCTGGCAAAAGCAAGCAAAACAAACTATCTAGCTAATTAAGAAAACAAGTTCTCTTAAAGGAAGCAAACACCATGATACTACAACGCTTTTGGCGGACAATACTGCATTTTAAAAGAAAGGAGAAAAATTCTTTCCATTAACTTTGCAATTTGCCACTCGAACACAGGAGGGCACTCAAAGTCCTCAAAAATATTTTGAAAAACAATTCCTTCTGGTCTGTACGCAGGTGGGCAGTTTTGAGCAGCTCTGGTCTGAGCCAGTCAATGGAAAATAAGCAGTGACTTTTTTTTCTTTTCTTTTTTTTTCTTTTCTTTTTTTTTGTGTGTGATCTAATGGTAGAGGCAGTATTAGTCTGTGCAATTTACTCAAATTCTGTAGCTTTCCAGGCTTTGAATCTACTATGCTGTGTATCTGACACGCCATTTTATTCATTAAACTGAATTCTTTTAATTGACATAAAGGAAGAGCAAATTAAAATAAAAATCTCAAGTTGTACATTCCATTCCACTACTAAAACTTGTCATTCCACCCCATTTCCAACAGATGGCAAAAGGAAATCATTAGACCAGCAAAGACTATTCCCTTCTCAATTCTGAGCATTAAGGCTGATGACAAACTCTGAATTAATTTTTTTTAATTAATCAAAACACTTTTCAGCAATTTCTTTTCGAAGGTGTTTAAAATAATTCTCCAAACTCTTTTTCACAGTATAAGTACCAAGCTTCTCCCTATTCCATGCTCTTCTCTACTGTCCTTTTTCCTCCCTTCCTCTTCTTTGTCTATGAGTGAATTTGGTTCTGAAATCTCTGACTGTATTCAGACTAACTGAGCAGTATTATAAAACATTTAAAGGTACAAGATTGGGATCTCCAATATTGTTTCTTTCAATTTCACCCTTTTTTTTTTTTCCAGATGGTTCTTCCAACTATTTTTTTTCCAAGAAAAAAGTTATTTTCCCTTTTGTTCTCCTCCTTTTGATGCCTGGTCCTGTTCATCTCAGCAGTGACCAACAACATTCCTACACATGACAGTCATCTGCGTATTATTTCACCTTGATTCCTTCCTAGCTGTTGTCTCTTGCCCTTCTTCTGATGCCTCTTCATCAGTCATCCTGCCTGTGCTTTTTCCTTTCCTTTCCTGCCAGTCTTAGTATCACAGTGGTACTTTGCTCCATGATAAATCTAGATCATGATAATGCACCTGTCTTTGGTTATTCATCTGTGGAATAAAATGCTACCCATATAATTTAGAAGTTTTTAATCTAAACTGAATTGGATCATTGGGAAGCACCAGGGTACATTACCCAAATCATTGTCAAAAACTACCTGGGCTATGTTTTTGACAAAAAGGACATTATAAGCTGCCCAAATTTGGCTTATTCAGGTATATATGAAAAAAAAAAAAAAAAGGCCTGGATTTAAGCTTCTCTGAGCTTAAATGGGAATAAAACTAGGTGTAGTTCTGAGGAAGCACTGGATAACTCAGGGGATTTTTTTTCCACATTTGTTGCTTTCTTTTAGTTGAATCTGGGCTTGAGATTTTTCTTTTAAATCCAGATTTTCAATTGTTAAAGCCACAAAATCACTTCATTTACATTAAGACATTCAAGGGCTTTTCAGCTCCCTGCACAGTGTGTGGCAAAAAGTAGTTCTTCAATATTCCCAGTCTACTGTATCTCTATGATGGAGGTGGAGCAGCGCAGTAGATATGTGTGCTGGGTTGACCTTGGCTGGCCACTGAGTGCTCACCCAGCCACTCTCTCACTCCCTCTCCTCAGCAGGACAAGGGAAGAAAATAAGATTAAAAAGCTCATGGGTCAAGATAAAGGCAGGGAGATCACTCACTAATCACCATCACAGGAAAACAGACTTGACTACGGGGAAGTAATTTATCACCAATTAAAATAGAGTAGGATAGTGAGAAACAAAAATAAAACTAAAACCACCTTCTCCCCACCCTTCCCTTTTTCCTAGGCTCAATTTCACTTCTGACTCTTCCACCTCCCCATCCCAAGTGGTGCAGGGAGATGGAGAATGGGAGTTGCAGTCAATTCATAATGCTTTGTCCCTGCTGCTCCTTCCTCCACATGCTCTTCCCCTGTACCAGTGTGGGGTCTCACACATGGGCTACAGTCCTTCATGAACTTCTCAAAAGTGGGTCTTTTCCATGGGGTACAGTCCTTCAGAAAAAGACTGCTACAATGTGGGTCTCCCATGGGATCACAGATACTGCCAGAAAACCTGTTCTTGCATGGGCTCCTCTCCACAGGCTGCAGCAGGACAATCTGCTTCACCGTGGCCTTCTCCACAGGCTGCAGGGGAACCTCTGCTTTGGCACCTGGAGCACCTCCTCCCCCTCCTTCTTGTCTGACCTTGGTGTCTGCAGAGCTGTTTCTCAAACTTTTTTCCTCACTCCTCACTGCCATGCAGTGTTTTGCCT